CTAGCACAAGGGTTCTATAGAATCCCAGTGAGCGATACTTGTCCTCAGCTCGATTGATTCCCTCGAGATCTATTTTTGGACACATCATCTCAGCTCCAAGACCCCGAAGCAGAGGTGTCAGAATGACAGCTGTCGTTATTTAGAGTTAAATTTGGTCAATAATCATTGACTTTTCTTCTAAAAGCAGTCAGAATGGACAGAGAGTACAGACTCATACCCAATGACTATGTTACACGTGGCAAAGTGGACAAAATTAGGGGTTAAGGGACGAAGATGCCCTTATTAATGCGTAGCCATCACAAGAAAACATTTAATGATCCCTCAAAAGAATGTGATGTAGTTAAAGCTCTGAAAGCTCAAGAAGGAAGAGCATTAAGTGCTCGGGAGCCCGAACACTAATGCTTGAACCCCTTCCACGCAAAATGAAAGGTGCTCAATTCAAGGATTGAGCAACGCCCACTGCCTTCCAAATGGATCAATTGAGAGCTCCTTCTTTAAGGGGCCCACTTGTCAGTAATGATAACATCTTGAAAAGTATAAATAACTTTCTAAAACTCAAAGCAAAGGTATGTAAAAAACTCACTCAACAATAAAACAAGGTCGTAACCCCTCTCTCACACAGACTAACTTGACCGTCAGAGAGATTACATTGGAAAGTACTCCGGCGTTCTTCTAACTTTCTTTTGTTGGTAGCAGATTCCTTCTCGATTTGTCAGAATCGCGTGGACAACTGAAAAAATAATTTATTATCACTTCTTAAGATCTTTCTCACTTCCTGTTGTTTCGGGATCTCTGACTTTTAGGTAAATCTTATGTTCGCCAAAAGAGAGATCTTTCATTTTTTTTTATTGTGTAAAAATTACCGCGCACAATTTTATATATCTGACTTTTGTTAGACCTGCCATTAATGGATTTTTATGTCTTACATGCCAAAATGTAGATACACTGATTAATCTACCTTTCCCATTTAGTTTCTCTGGAAATAAAGAACAAATTGTTTGATGACTAGTGAGTCTTTTTCTGGGCTTGTTCTGGTGAGTTTGGTTGAATATCTGCTGTACCATAGTGGCATGTGTATGATGTATTCCTCGTGGAAATGGTAACAAACCAAATTACAAAAGGTTTGTGGAAACATAACCCCACCACAAAGTGGATAAAATTCTCCTGTTTTAAGTTTACCTTTCAAGTTGGCCCCACATGCCATTAAAACTTGGATGAGTCAGTGTGCAACTCTGAGTGTCAATATTATCCTAATTCTAACGTAAATTATTTGTATTTAATCGATTCAATAAAAGGTTTAATTAAAATGTACGTAAATTAATTTGAACATTTTTAATCGTTGAATCCCCAAAAAAAAAAAGACAATATTACGGAGAAAACTATGGTGCCAATTTTTTTTTAAATAATATTACACAAACTTAAAAAATTGACTTAAAAACTTGATTTGATGATACGGCTATTATATCTATCATTGATTTTAACTGTAGGTCTCAGTATTTATTAGAACTTACTGTTTATTCAATGATAATAATTTATCGAGTTAATTTTTTAAGTCTATTTAACATTTTTCTAACTTCTTATTTCTTAGGCTTGAGTTATAATTTTTTTTGACCTAGATATCACTTTTCTGGTAACATATTTAGAATCGATTGCAAACTATTATAAAAAATATAAATAATTCTAAAAAATTTTAAAAATAAATTCTAAAAATTTATAATATTAATAACATGATACAATACGATATAATTTTTTTTTTTTTTTTTGGATACCGTAGACTTTTCCCCAATATTAAGCACAAAAATGAACACAAAGTGACAAAACTCATTTGTGATTTCATTTCCGTATACTGCTGAATTTGTCTTTCTGATGGGGTTGTGGCCAGCATTTGCAGAATCACATCAAATCCAAAATCAATTAATTTCGTTTTCCGTGTCATCTCATTGTGCAAAACTCATCCCATAAATAGAATAGGTCCACTACCACTAATTTCACCTTTTTTTTTTTATTTTTTATTTTTACATAATTTATGTCAATGGTTTCTGGATAATGTTTCTCAGCTTCATCAGATGATTGCCAAGTCAATAAAGGAAGACGAGGTTCAATGTTTTGGACGATACCGATACGACTTAGTCGGATGTATTCAACTTGGTATATACATTCTATTTTCATACAATGTATTTCACTTTTTTGGGATTCATTGATAATATTGTTTATGTGATACATAGTATTTGTATACCTTGATTTGGAAAGTCTTAATATTCCATATAAAATAATTAGTTATTGCATTAAAATAATAAAAAATGATAAACAATAAACATATTTATTTTTATATTCAAAATCAAATCACAAACATAGAGGAGAAATAAATGAATTTAAGCATCGATTGTAGTGACAGTGAGAGGTGATGGGCGACAGTGGTAGTGGTAGGAGACGGTGATGGTTGTGATGGGTGGTAATGACCGTGATAATGGTGGTGGTGGTGACGACGACGATGGCAGCGGTGGACGGTGGCGGTAGTGATGGTGGTTGTAGAGATTATGATGGAGTGATTTTAAACACTATTTTTTTTAAAGTACTTACGAGAAATAATTTTTAAAAATAATTTTAAAAAATTACTCTAAACACACCCTTAGGGCTCTATTTTTTTCCTATTAAATTTAGGGGATTAATATTAGCCATTAGATTAACTTTAAAATAGAATTTAAAACGATTTGAACCGCAAAAAGCGAAAGTCATTTTGTTTATCTTTTGAAATTTGAATTGTAAACTACTTTATTATATAGAAGATATAAAATTATGAAATTCAAAAAAAAATTTGAAGTGATAATTGCAATAATATAGCTTTTTTAATTTCACTCGAAAATAGTCACAAAAAGTGAGTTTATATAAAATGCCCCGTTTATAAGTGAGTCCCCAATTATTATTGGTGTAAAATTTGTATTTAAATAAAATTAAAATAACATATTTGAAGAAATTTATATTGCCATTTTTTTTTTAAATACAAGAAATAGATATGTAGATAGATTATTCCACATATGCATTAGAAAGTATTGCCCCTCAGCACCACACAACTATAGGCAGGGAATTCACATAGGTTGAGACTAAAACTAAAGTTTCATCACGTACCCTGAATGGTGAAGAGTAGATTTAGTTCTAATGAGTTGTCATAATTATAAAAATTCGAACCCAAACATTAATCGAAGAAATTCAGGTTCTTACTCATAGAACCAACAACTCGTTGATTATTACTAAATTTTTTAGAATGATACTATTTGAACTTAAAAATTTGATTTAATTTACATATATTTTAGATAAAATTTGCTACATGTTAAGATCATGGACCACAAAATTAATGAACCGTCACCGTCTCCAACACCAAAAGCATTTTCTTTGCCTTTGTCACACATTTCAATTTTTACACATTCTCCAAGACTCCAATACTTTCATCCGAGGATACTCCCCGTAATAATAGAAACTGACGTTATAATAAATTTGTCTTTTTATAAATATTTTAATTTCAATTATATAGTCTGTTTTTGACCAAATTAATTGAAATATACATAAATTAGCCTGAGTATCTATTATCAGTAAACCAAAAAAAAAGAAAAAGTACCCTCACTCATACAAGTTTTCGAAATTTTAAAAAAGAAAATATTCATGAGCAATTCGATCTAGTCGCCAGTTTACAGCCTCATATTACAAACTAATAATGTCAAAATCACATAATCTGATTTCAAATAGCTGAAAACCAAGTACGCGGAAGTTACATATTGAATCGACGTTTTGAGACTACGTAATAGGTTGCTCGTCACCTCACATTACCATCAAGTAGTCATATAAAAGTGCCATAAGATTATTGCACTAAAAAAAAAATAATATTTTTGTGTCATACAAAAATTAAAAAAAAATAAAAATAAATTAAGTTACAATTTTTTAAATCTAAGTTGTAATAAAATAAAGTTGTTAGAATTAATTTTAATTTTTTTATGATTTAACCACATAAAATTATACTTTTAATTCAAAGTACTATGATAAAAACTAAAGTCTTGTTATTTTTTGGTAGGATTGATTATCGAATTGAACTACTCAAACTCGACTTGGATTCGATTTAAGTTCGATTCGTGTTCATTTTTTAAATGAGTCAAATTTTAACAGTTTTTTAGATTCTTGTAAAAAATGAGCTCGATTCGACTTAGATTTAACTTATTTTGGACTCGTTCAAGTTGAGTTCAATTTTTTTTAACTAGTTGAATTTGAATAATTTTTAAAATTATTTAAAAAAAAACAAACTTGACATAATTATTGACCCTGTATCTTGGATACCAAGTTCCCACCCAAAAGTCTGAGATGACCAATTATAATTTCCACACATATGAATTGCATTACCCATTTTAGGAATATTCCCACATTTTTGGGGTGAGGATAAGAAAGAACGTCCAACGATCATTCTGTTAGGTCTTCATTAGTGAGATTATAAGACCTTTAATCGCACTTGAAACATATTTCAAGACTAGACCTAATTAGATTAGTATAAGAATTTTCCATCGAAATTTAACAAAAACTCCAAAACTAAAACTCCCAATTTTTGGACAAGGAATAACACTGATACCACCATTGGACCATCCTACCCGGTGCTGACAACTCCACGCTATGCCCAACCACCCATTGATCTAACTGGAAAGACCGACCACACAGACACAGTCCAAGGTGAAAAAAGAAAAAAGAAAAAAGAACAAAAGAGTCTCTTTTTCTCTCTCCAAAACTTCAATCGGCGTTGACCAAATTATTGATCTCAACCGTCCATTCTACATCACTTTCGGAAAAATCCAGCCCTCCATTTCTCCGCGTTCCTTTGTGCCGCGGGAATCAGCACTATCCCCCTGAATATGCCACGTGGACATCCGTATTCCCAAATCACAGTTACTTTATCAAACCCCACCTCCACCACCCTTTCTACCTCCTCCGCCTCTTATATATACACCCATTACAGATTTCATAATTCCTCCTCCTCCTCCTGTCTCTCTCTCCCTCTCTCCCCTTCATTTTCGATTTTCTCGAAGCGCACATAGATTCTGAAAATCTTTTTTTAATTTTTTTTTTCGATATCTCGTGGAATTAGGGTTCAAATTCTCAATGTGGTTCAATATTTTCTTGAAAATTTGAGTTTCTAATGGAAGAGTCAATGAAGAAATTCCGAGTTGGATACGCTTTGGCACCGAAAAAGGAAGCGAGTTTCGTTCAAGATTCCCTCGTCAGTCTCGGGAAAGAGAAAGGAATCGATCTCATTAAGATAGATACCAGCAAACCCTTAATCGATCAAGGACCGTTCGATTGTGTTATTCACAAATTGTACGGAAAGGATTGGAAGAATCAGCTAGAAGACTACTCTGCCAAAGACCCTAATGTCCTGATTATTGATCCTCCCGAGGCAATTGAGAGATTGCATAATCGAATTTCGATGCTTGAGGTAGTGAAGGGGTTGGAGATTGAGAACAAGACGGCGTCGTTTGGGATTCCGCGGCAGATTGTGATATACGATGCCAAAACGGTGGCGGAATTGGAGATTGAGAGGGAGGGGTTGAAGTTTCCGGTGATAGCGAAACCGTTGGTGGCTGATGGGAGCGCCAAATCGCATAAAATGTCGTTGGTGTTCAACAATGATGGGCTGAATAAGCTGAAACCGCCGATTGTCTTGCAGGAATTTGTGAACCACGGTGGTGTGATTTTCAAGGTGTATGTTGTGGGGGAATATGTGAAATGTGTGAAGAGAAAGTCGTTACCGGACGTGACCCAAGAGAAATTGGGGATTTTGGAGGATTCTCTCTCCTTTTCACAGATTTCTAATTTGAATTGTATTGAGAAAATGGATGATAAGTACTATAAAATGATGAAAAATTTGGAGGATGCGGAAATGCCCCCCATAAGTTTTATCGTTGACATTGCGAAGGGGTTGAGAGAGGCAATGAAATTGCAGTTCTTCAATTTTGATGTGATTAGGGACACTAGTGTTGGGAATAAGTACCTTGTGATTGACATTAACTATTTCCCCGGGTATGCGAAGATGCCTGGTTATGAAAGCGTGTTAACAGACTTTTTCTGGGATGTTTTGAATAAGAAAGAGAAGGGTTCAGAAAGTAGAAATCTGGATAGTTGTGAGAAAGAAGTGAGGAAGTTGGTGGCAAATAATGGGTGTGGTGAGGATGATGTGGGGCTTCCTGTTTCGCCTCTTAACAGGGAAGAAAAAGAGAACCCTATTCAATTTTAGGGATGTGTAGCCTGTTGAGTTAATTGGCTGAGAGTTCGGTGCTTCAGGGTGGTGATCCTTCTCTGGGTTGAAGTGGGCTGCAAGAGCATCTCTTTAAGATAGGGAGTTTAGAACAGTGGTGAGAAAGTAGGTTATTTGCTTTGGTTTCTGCCTCCTGAAGGCCTATTAGATGGTGTTCCTTGTTGATCATGTATATTCCAATCTTTTTGGTTTGGAGATAGAGTACTTGCTTTGCAGATAGGTACTTTTTGAATTTTTAGGAAGTTTAAGTTGTTCTCCAAGGCATATGCATTTCAAGGCATCGAAACTGTTTGTGTATGCCTTTGGCAACTTGAATCAATGAATTTTGCATTTTGTCAATGATAATTCCTTTTCCTTTTTCTTCATTTGTTTCGTGTTAACTAATTGTATTGTATTTTTTTTCTAGAATTAAGTTACTTGAACTGATTTATCTTGTAGAATTAATGGATATCTGTGATTTCTGGTAAGCACATGGTAGATGGGTGAGGTTCTGTCTCTACCATGGTCCATGGAAGTTGAATGTAGGCAAACTTTGATCTAAGTTCTTGTATGCGTATTTTCCCTTTCGGAATGTTATGCGAAAACGAGAAAAGAAAGGGATTTTTATTTATTATATGCCGGAGTTTATTGAGATGACATCGAGCATCCAATTTTGCTGTATTTTTCTTTGGCTGCTTCTGAGATGTTCTGAAGTGATATAAGCTTCATGACTTGAGTCGCCCCTGACCGGGCTCATGGAGGTCAAAAAGTAAAAGTTATTAACAAGTGCTTTGATTTTTCTGTCAAATGATTCCATTTATTGATCTAATTGCGGTTTGCTTACAGATTTCTCAATGTACAGGTTTGTGGTTTTTTGTGTTGCATGGTTTCAAACCGTTTTGATGCCATATAAGATTATTGGTTTGAACTTCAATTTTGCTTTGAATGAGCGTAATGCTGATTGTATAGATTATAGGTACTAGAATTTACTAAATTCTTGAAGTTCCACAATTTGGATACATCGATCTCAAATGAGATGGGTTCGTGATTCAAATCATCAAAATGTATGACTTTAATTTATAATATTAATCTTAAATCAATTTACTTTGAAATATGTAACACAAATATAAAATACCTATTCATTAACAACATATATATACACACACACACTAGTCATAACTGTGTCTGAAGGCACGATAAAATATAAAATTCGAGTGTCCAAAAAATAGAACCCATTATATTAATTTTTTTCAAAATATATTAACTACAAATTAATCAAATATTAAATGATTTAATATATGATAAAAATAAGTGATGTGATATTTTTAGGGAAGAAATATATAAATGATTAAACATATGATATAAATAAGTGATGTGATTTGACGTTTGAGTAGGACAAAATAATGATGGGTGAGGTAAGTGATTGATAATGGTTTTGAGAGGGAAAATATGACTGAGACAAAATTTAAACACACTCCTGTTTTATTATATATATATATATAATATATATATATAATATTACATATTATTTTAGATAATAAAAAAACGAGCACAAATGTTAGGTAAAATGGTAGCTGACTTAGTGTTTATGAATGTTTTATGATATTTAATGTTGTATAATAGTGAAAACGATCTAAATAAGAGTTTTAAAACAAATTGCAATTCAAAATACTGTACTAATTAAGTTTATCCCATTGTACCGTGTACCTAAAAAAAGTATCGTACCATGTACGCGTATCGGTACCACACACCAAAATGACCCATGATCTAATTAAAATTGGTACAGATTGATACATATATGACTGGATGTAGCTTTGTTGAGAACTATCGGATGACGTTATTACAACCACCTTTTTGGTTACAATCTTGTACAAACTGTTGCAAGTAGATGGAATCGAAAGCACCGGCAATATATGGGTCGATTAAATGTTAGGATGGCACAGCTTCAACCCGACCCGACCCATTGGCAGCAATACACAAAAAATGGATATAGAAGAACAAGCATGAACTGTAGTAAGTTTTGAGAGAAAGAGATCCACTCTAATACACTCTCACGTGAATTTAAGTTTGGACTCAATACATAAGTGGGTCCTCCTTGAGTGATTTTTTTATGAAAGAAAGTGTACTAGAGTAGATTTTGAATCCTTAGGAGGGATTCATTCTAAAGTAATTTTTGTAGTCGTTATGTTACATATTTCGCAAATTGAACTTGTGTTCACCATTTTCGCAAAACAAGAGAGTACATTTTTCCAAAGCTTTTTCTTAAAAAATGTTTGCAATATTTTTCCTTTCCCTCTATGTTCTCAAAGACCAACAAAGATCATATAGGGAGTATAGGAAGCACAAATGGTATGTAAAATAGCGTAAACTGGTTCGGACATTCCTGACCATTGAACTAAAATAAAATGGCTTTCTACTACTGTAAAACATTTTGGAACATGTACAATTATTATTTTCAGATTGAAAGAATCATATAATAATTCTATAAATTGCGTCAATAATGGGATATGCAAGAAATTGAAGTTGTTAACAGGATAACATTATAGAACAAAGCACCTTTAAATATTTTTGTTGGTGTGTTTAGTTATGCTGATGTTGTTGTTGATGTTGCTGTAGGTTGATTAACTTGAAATACACTCCATCCTTGTTCTCTATGAGAGTAGAGTGAGTCCCTTGCTCTACTATCACCCCTTCCTGTAAAACTGATATTTGGTCAGCATCTTTTATGGTGGATAGTCGATGTGCCACCATGACTGTCGTCCTGTTTTTCATTAACATGTCCAAAGCTCGTTGCACTTCACGCTCCGATTCTACATCTAGAGCACTAGGAGCTTCATCCAATAGCAAGATTGTGGGGTTCTTTAGAACAGCTCGGGCAATGGCTACTCTTTGTTTCTGACCACCAGAAAGTTGCACTCCTCGCTCACCTACTTTTGTTGAGTAGCCCTCAGGAAGAGCACTAATGAAATCATGTGCATTAGCAAGCTTAGCTGCTTCAATTATTTCTCCTTCTGAGGCTCCCTCTCTACCATAAAGAATGTTTTCATAGATGGATGTGGCAAAGAGAGCTGGTTGTTGGACTAAGCCAATGTGTTTTCTTAGAGACTTGAGCTTCAGTTTCTTGATGTCTTTACCTGTGGAAATTCAATGCAATTCAAAGATAATAAAAAGTTAAATTCTTGAATGAACTATTCTGATATCATTCCTTTTACTTTGCATTTTGCCTATTAATAATAAATTAATTAATCAGTCAATCACACAGTCACCTAGACACTCACCGTCAATCATTAGTTTCCCAGCAGTTGGATCATAAAACCGAAGTATAAGAGCGAGCACAGAGCTTTTGCCAGACCCACTTTGCCCCACTAGTGCCATGCTTTTGCCTGGACGCACGCTGAGATTGAATTCCTTGAAAATCAGAACATCTGGCCTTGAAGGGTAGCTAAACTCGACACCCTTTAGCTCGATTGTTCCCTCCATCCCAGTTAGCTCATCTCCAACATCACCCACCACCTCTGTTTTACGGTCCACCACCTCAAAGACTGAAGCCACCATTTGATTCCCTTTAAGAATGTCTGGGGCCATTGCAGGTATCTCTCCCATGACGAGCCGTTACAATCAAAACGATAAATGATTTTATGACAGAATTGAAGCTAGAAATCCCATTTCCAATCAAAACAGAGCCATACCTACACAAGTTTAAACATATTGGAGTGCGCATGTTTAATAGGAATAGGTATCTTAGTTTTAAACAATAAGCTAATTTGGCCAACAGACTCCAATTTCAGCATCTACAAAGTCTTGGGCACTCTTACACCAACTTCTGTGGCAACTTGATTGCTAGAGCTCATAACTTCAGACCCCAAATACTCATATCCAAAACTTATGCCCATTTGGTATCCTTGCCACATATTTTAAGAGAATTAACTGTTCACTGCCTAAAATTTCGCACAGCAAAGATTTAGAAGACGAAGCAAAACGCACTTACCATAACGCAAGGCCATAGGATGAGTAGATGAAGAACTGAGAGACTCCATAAAATATACCAGCAGTCTGACCGCGAATAAATGCATGCCTTGAAGGCTCAACAAGCTCACAAGCATAAAGGCCAATCACCTTCTCTTCAGAACAGAATGCAGCAACAGTACGGATGTTACTTACTGCCTCACCAGCAAGCATGTTAGCTTGGAGATAAGTTTTGCTCAAGTTAGCCCCACAACCTTTCATGAAGAGTTTCTAAAACATTGGGAAGAACAATTAATGAGATGAAGTCGAACACCCCCTTTTACTGCAATTGGAAAGGATAAGGAGATGAAACCTCGCTGATGTGACCGCTTATGAGCAATGGATATGTGGCCATGACAACAAGCGTTAGCCTCCAATTCAAGATGAAGGAGACGATGAATGAAGTGACAACCAAACCCACATTTTGTATAAGAATTGTAGAGCGATCAACGACTACAGTTCGCAGTAAAGTTGCATCACTCTCTAAACGAGATGCCAGCATAGAACTTGTGGTGTTTGTGTCATCAAACCACCCAATTTCATTTCCCAAAATGGCTGCAGTCAAATACAAGAGGGAACTTGAGGCAAAACATCCTTCAAGATTCAGGAACAAAGTCACTTTTAATATATTTGAGTTTGCTTGGACACCCATTAGTATTTTCTTTTGGTTACCATCTAGTGGAATTAATTCATCATCTAGGCAAGGTCATTATAGAAGAATAAATTTTAGATCAAATAAATAAGTACATCACTGCAAATATATTCACATAACTTACCTAAAAATAATATAAATATATACATGTACATACTTATATTTATTTATTAGTTTAACACTGCATGTGTGTATACATATAAAACTCCATCACTCTTTCATATTCTTTGAACTGGTTGTCTTTTGCAACAAAACAATATCCATTTCCCTATTCTATAGAAAAACAGTACGTATGACATAAGACTCATAACCAAACACCCTTTTAATTGCATTCATACTTGAATTTATCCATAAAAAAAACGTTTATAGTACAAGTGAGAAAGGTTGATATGGTCAAAAGTTTACCCGTAAACATCATTTCTCGCACTCGAAGCGTAACCGCTCCCCCATGATTCCAAAACAGAGATGTTCAATAGCTTGAAAAATGACTGTTATAACAGCACCCCCACAGAAAAGGCTGTGCTGTCTTCTGAACTTCATGGCGTGTTGTGTCCCATCCTTGTAATAAGATACAAGAGCTGACTGATCCAAGAGCAAATAGAGGCATCTGGGCTCCAGCGCAAAAAGTGCGAAAAACAGTGCCAACAACACACCCCTAAAATCCAGTCCGACCAACCATAGAATACAATCTTCTGCAAGAAACA